AGATGGAACACACCAATTCGAATGGATCCAATCACGTCCCAGTAATGCATTATAAGTTGCAGAAGAGTCTACAACAAAGAAAGCACTCATTGACGTCTTGCTGCCGACAGTAAGTGCAACCGGCAGCACTTCTTTTGATTTGCTAACACCACTTGTGAAATCACTGATGGTTACATCAGTATAAACCAAGTCCTCAAAATTTTTACCCAAATTACTCAGCATAAAAGAAGGTATGACGTTGACTGCTGCTTCATTGTCAACCAGGACTCGATTCACTGGAACTCCATCCATGTGAGCTAAAATGTAGAGTGGCTTTATATGACGAGCCACATTTTCATCTGGTTTGTTAAAGATAATTTGTTCCGAGAGGATATCATGCTCCTCTTCCTCTTCTTGGGCTGGAACCTCTATCATTTCTTCTTCGACAAACATGCTGCCATTGGAAACATGGGTAGGAACATGGGTAGTCTTGCTGCCCTTGGCTTGAAAAACCAAAGGAAGCGTGAGAACCAAACAAGAGAGATTAATAGAGATGTCACTGATCTGCAGAACATCCATGTCCTGAAGAAGATTATCATCGCTAGTCAACTCTGTTTGCTGATCTGCTTCAAAAGTTGCCTTCAACTCATTTTCATTGACGATCAATGAAGTGAGCTTAGGAGGTGGCACTTTCAACTGAGATTCATTCTGGACAGCAACTTCCTGATTCTCTTTTCTCTTCCACACCATCCTTCATTTTGCGGGAAAACGTTGTGGAACCTTAACTTCCTCAGTAGCTAATTGTTGACGGCGACGTGCCTTTGCTCGCTTCCGCTGCAACCTTCTTCTCAAAGTTCTAGGATTTTTCATAGGTTCTTTTGGAAACTTGGGATGCACGACCTTTTCCCACCTTTTACTTGGAGGTTGCTATGGAGGCTTAACCATACGAGAGCGATCTATATGCCGAGCCTCCTTCATCCTGGATCTGGATACATAAATTCTGGCAGCATGGCGTTGCCCCCCGAGCCTCTGATTCTGTTGGGCACGATGTTCCCTTTCCTTCTCAATCACCCAACGAAAGTCATCTGCAGCCAAAGTTCACCTTTTATACGTCCTTCGAGAGACGCTACTTATGTCAGCAACATTAACTCCAACATCAACGTTCCAAAAAGGATTCTCATCAACCCCCATGGCTTCCTTGGGTTTTTCAGGGAAATGAAGCAGCCCTTTGTCAATCTTGTCCTGCAACACATTTCGAAAAATAACACAGTCATTAGTAGAGTGTTTCCAAGAGTTATGAAACTTACAATAATCTTTGGATGCAATTTCAGCAACCGTCGGGAGCCTATGCCCCTGCGGCAGCTTAATATGTCCCGACTTTTTCAAATAATCAAAGATTTCATTTACTTTAGTCACATCAAATGTGTATTGTCTCCTAGATTCATACGGGAGACGCTTTGCAGCCACCTCAACCTGTTGAGTGACTTTCACTAGATTAGGACAAGTTACTGGCTTGTTTGCGAAGACCTCAGCAACATCAAGGTCAAAAGCATCCTGATAATAAGTTCCTTGCGATGCTGCCTTTCTTTGGGATTCCTCTCTTAAAAGGTTCTCATAACGTGCCACCTTATAAGAAAGCTCAAAGAAGTCTCTGAATTCCATCCCCTCAAACTTCTTTTGAAGTTCAATGTCTAAACCATTTTGAGCAAGCTTCACGAACTCTTGCTCTGGTAAGGCAACATGACACTTCATCCGAGCTTTTCTAAACCGCATAAGATAATTTTCAGAAGATTCCCCTGGCCGTTGAGTTAGTCTAGAAAGATCAGCCATGGATATCTCAGGCTCTGAGCGGTAGAATTGAATATGAACAAATCTTCCATTTGTCTCCAGGAAAATACAGAATTTTGCAGCAAACTTAGGTACCATGTCAGTGCAGTACCCGTTAAAGAACTCGGGAAAAGTCTCAACTTCAAAAAATCATCACCTGATGCCTCCCTACATTGAATAGTGAACCTACCAATGTGTTCAATAGTTGATTGACTTGCGTCCCCAGAAAACAAAGTAAATTCAGGCACTTTGAATCCACGAGGAAATGGATTATCCCGATCTATGTAATCTGGATACGGCTTGTGATAGGAAGAACAAACCAATGGTCTCAGAGCTGGACCATATGTCTCCTAGACTAGATCAATCAGTTGATTTCTATCCAAGGGAGGAGCTGCTGCTTGTAGCCCGAGTGGTTGAAAAACATTATTTTGCAAATTGGGCTGTGGGATAGCATTTGGACGTCGTGCAGGGGGTACATATCTTTGTTGATTGGCGTTGAACTGCTTAGCTACACGGAATGCTGCTTCCACAGGATCTTGTAGTCCAAGGATGCCACTAACAGGATTGTTTTGCTATTGCCTATTGAACTGCACCTGGCCAGCACCAAGAGCATTATTTTGAGCATTGGGCATTTGCTGCACCACCTGTGGCTGATTAATATGCCCCCCGGGCAAAGGATCTGGAAGATTTTGCTGTGGCAATTCCATTGCTGGAGGTCCGGGTTGCCTTGGAACATTTTGCTGCTGTCGAACATGTTCCATAGTTCTCTCAGAAACTGCAGTGAAGGTTCTGCGACTTTCTACTACATCTTCTCGGATGGCTCGAGAACTTTCATTACTGACCCTTTCAATAGTATTCATATATCAAGTGAACTGATCTGACTGTTGTTGTTGGGCTTGAAGAAGGCTTTCTAGACTACGCTTTATGTTCTGATTAGCTTCTTCTTGCAGCCTCCTTATCTGCTGAAGTTCTTGAAATATTTTATTGCTTGACTCAGCAAAATCAACATTTTCCTCATCATCCTTGCGATATATGGGATTGCCATATGAGCGATCAGCCAAGGGAGAAATAGGCGGAAGGTGCTCCAGACTATTTTCACCTTGAGAATGTATTGGACTCATAGGAGCAATTTCCACTTGCTGTGCAACTTCTTTTCCAACTCTCCTAGGCATGGCTATGGCTGCTTTAGGCCCAGGAAAAGCAAAGAGTGGATCAAAAAACGTTTCTTGATACACGATCACCAACAGGAGGTCACACTGGGCGTGCCAAAAAGAGATTGTTATCCCAAAAAGAGATTGTTATCCCAAAAAATCTCCTTGACACGTGGCAGATGAAATGGCGTGCCACTTGCTTTGCTCAAAACAAGAAAGATTTCTCCAACGACCCTCTCTTCTTTCCAAGCGTGGAACTCAACTTGTGAGATGGAAGAACGTCATGAATTGCACCTTAAAGATCAGACGATTGGCAGAAACGAGGGATGAACTTCCTGCACTAAATGGGTTATACGACAAAATGCCCTGGATATGATTCCAAGGACTCCTCAAAGCTAATGTAATCAAGAAAAGTTAAGACTGCAAGGTAAATAAATGATCGCTAAATTACTGAAAATCTAAATGAACTTTCAATACGCAAACTGAATTGAAACAGAGTTTTAAAAGGAAATTTAATTGCAACAAAAGTAAATTAAATTAAAGTAAATAAAACCCGAAACATGAAAAATCTACTGGCAGCATGAAATGTAAATTAACAGAAATGGAACTGAACATGAAATTAAATGTCGACATCATCTGATTAAATTAAAGGAAATCTGGAAAACAAATATAAAGGAAAGTAAGCAATCCGATTACAAAGAAATATTACTGAAGGCAGTGAAACTCACCATTACAAATTCGATAAAAGAATAACCGAATTGCTAAACTAATCTAAGTTGAAGCGTAGAGGTAAAATTAAATTAAAGGGCTTGAAACTAAGATGAATCTGAGTATAAAGAGAAATTGTGCTGAGTTTATTGTGTGAGATGTCGATCCCTTGCTTGATTTTATCATTAGGTATTTATAACACCTTGGCAGCATGGTGGACATTTGCGGCAGCTGAAAAACCAACGGCAGCGTAATATCTGCAACAAATTGACTAATTTGTTGGTGCTGCAATTATCCTCCTAAAAACTCGCAACAAAAGAACGGTTTTGTCGCCGTTGTGGAAATAACCACTCAATCTCATCTGAAGAAATTCACACCAACTAATAAAATATCTGCCATCATATGTGACACATGGCAACACTCCATTTGTTGTAAAATTAGGTGTAAACACAACCAAATAAATACTAATTACATGGCTAACATGCAAACACGTTTCTGCACTAAGTCTTGAAAAGTAACAAAACAAATAAACTGGTTCCCAGATAATAGGTGACAGTAAGAATTATACAAAAAGTGGAAACTGCAATAGAATTAAGATTAACCAACCAACAAAAGGTAGTCAAGGGTGACATGAGACCAAATTATCCATGAGTGATTTTTTTACCCTTAAAAAAAAAAGAATGTTTTTTTTACTAACT